TATTTTGTAGGTTCAAAGCACAAGACCCTTCCCAGGACAAAAGTATAAATAATTCAATTACCAAAGAGAAACAAAAAAGGTGACTCAGTTCATATACCTATAGTATATTATTTTTTTGAAAAAAAAAAAAAACCACAAAGAAAAAGGTTTACATGTTTCTTTAACAGTGCATATTAACGCATAAACACCATGATGCTTTTTTTAAATACTTAATCCTTGTTGTCTGGGGTTTCTGTCCTCAACCCATTTGATTTATTGTTTCTGATGCAATGATCATTTTAGCAGTGTTATATACAATCTGGCATCTGAACAGAGCATTTCATTTAGAAAAATCTATAGAATTGTCATTGACATTTCTGTCTCACTAAAGTTGTGGAGGATTATTGGGGAGCTTTATCTTTTTAATCATGTCTGAGAAAATGAATGTTACATGATTTCACCTGCACAACTAAGAAAACACGATTCTAATTCTCGCCACAACACTTTGTCTCCTGTCCTCAAGTCTGGTGTGTGAATCTTCCACTTGGAGACAAAGGAAATGCGTTTTCTAGATAACAGTTCAGTTGCAATAAGGCTCGGCTCGAGCTGTGATTGAAACAATACTCTGCCTAAGCTGCACTGAGCCCACCTGTTTGTTCTTCCGTAATTGGATTCTGCTCCATTCCATTTGCCTTAATGCTGATGCATAATGCAGTGGGGCCGAGAGAAGCAGCCACTGCTAATCAGTGGACTGGGCACGGAGGAGGAACCAGACCTCCCACTCAGCACCCATCCACCTCCCATCTTTGCGCATACTTCCATGGCCTTTGTCCTTCAAAGTCCACTTGACGAGGCTGTGGAGCTGAGGGTAACCAGCAGGTGTTGATTTCACTGCCTGACCGATAAATAATCTGGCCTACAGCTACATGTCAATCTAAGATATACAGGCGCTACTGTGGACAGATTTGGTAAATCATAGAGAATGTGTAAAGTCATTCAAAAATGTAACCCTATTAAAACATGGAAGATGCCCTTAGATAAATATAAAACCATTTAGCTAACATTTTTGCATCAGTGCTAAGCTGTTAATAATTATAGCAAAGGCGGTTTTAGGAATTTTGTTTGCTCCAAACTAATCACAAAAACTTGTGCGGCTACRCAACAAATTGTTCCCCGAAGCTACTTTGATCACTTCTGTGTATGATTTCCTCTCGCGTAGGACGCAGAAAGAATGCCGTAGCCAGCTCTATAAACACTACAACAGCTTCAACAAACTGSCAGCATGGGAGGGACTCCCACATGCTCTTTGCCCATTGTCATCAGGGCCATACTTCTCTCATGATCAGCAGCCTTCGCTAAGTGGCTGGTGTCGATGGCTGTGAGTCAACTCAACCCACAACGATGATGAAGATAAAACATGTGGAGATGGTGTGTGTGTTTGGCACTGTATGTAGCGCACGCTGAAAATAAGAGGGTAAAGAAGTGGAGCAATAAGAAGAGTGACATAAATTGTGTGGGTACTGGTGTGTATATGTGACTGAGTGGGTGAGCGACGGTGGCCAAGGTTCATTAGCGTGTCATCAGCTGCCTCCACATGAAATAATAAGGCCCACTCTCTCTCTGTCCCCCCCCCACCCCACCCCACCCCATCTCCCCTACTGCATCTGCCGAACTGAGCTGTGACAAATAACATCTGATCTCAAGTGACCTCTCCTGTGCAGTGACACATCATGAAGAAACAGATAACAGCTGATGAAGTGACAGAATTAGAATGATAAAAGCGAGGTCACGGAGCGAAAGGGCCAGCGAGAGCTTGATGAGCTGTAAAGACGGCAGAAGGCAGAAGCAGAGTGTACGTTTGATACGAAGCTGGATACTGTGACAGTTTAATGCACAATAAGGTCTTTAGGGAAATTCTAGAAAGCAACAGAGCTCTGTCTCCTCTGACCTTTTTCTGTATTTGCTCGGCAGTAAGTCTGTCACTGAAAAGTTTTCATCACTCCGGCGAAGGCTTGGACCCTTTCCCTCTTTTTCTACACAAAATCAAATGCTGTACAAAAACAATTGTTTAGGAAGGTGGAAAGCAGATCTGAGCAACTCCTCAAATCAGATATCTGACTGCCTTCAGTGCTTCATTTGTTATAAATTCAGGTGGCAAATTTGGCTGCATTAATTTGCTACCACCTTGAGAATCCAAAACAATAACTAAATACTTGTTTAACAATCCAAGGTTTAGTGAGAGAGAGAGARAAAAAACTTATTGTTTATTGCTTTGCTTTGTTTGCTCATGTGGCTCTTGTTTCCCCCCGCCACTACATCATAAATTTGTTTTTCAATTAAAATCGTGGGGCCTGAGAGCATGTGAACATATCAGCTTTATAAATCTCATGCTCATTGTGTCAGAGTTTCCAGCCTTGTAGCAAAATTCACTAATCAAATCCTCACCTGCTTGTTTTGTTTGGAGGCTGAAAAGCAAGCTGACGCTATATTGGATCAGCTGGAAGTAGGCATTATTGTGCGACTGCTTCCATGCGATGCCGTTATCCCTCTGCTGGTCTCACGCTGGTTTTAAAACCATTCGAAAGTAGGAAGTTTGTGCTCGTCTTTAAACAAACTCTTTGAAGAGGTTGTTTACTGATGGTAGCGTGCAGACAATGTGGCTCACGCTCGCTGCAGACTGGCTCCTATAACTTTATCTGCTATCGGGCCTTATTGAATCGATAAGTTAATTCAAATATCAGCCAACTCTTACAATGACTTTAAGCTGGAACTTAAAGGTAAAGCAGACATTAGGTTAAGGATCACAAGAGTAGGTTTAAAAAAATTGTTGGATAATGTCTTGCCGCATATCATTGAACTGAAGAATAAAAAAAATCTAAAACAAAATCAACTTACAGCATCTGTGTATGGTTTGTTTTAGTTTTTCCATTTCAAAATAAAATAAAATAAAATACAAAAAAAGTTGTTTCAAAACCAAATTAGAAAAACGACAATTGCAAAATTGAAAAAAGCTTTATTTTTTCCCCGCTCATTTTAAGAGTTGTAAAGACCCTAAGTACAAATACTTTGTTACTGTATTTAAGTGGAAATCTTGGTTATCTGTATTTGAGTAATTATTTTTCAGCGTACTTTTTACTTTTACTCATTACATTTTTACACAATTATCTGTACTTTCTACTCACTATATTTTTTAAAAAGGTAAGAAGTAGAAAGTCATTACTCCTATTTTATTCCGAGTTATTACTTGAAAAATACTATCCTGATAAATTGTGTCTCCTAGATAGAGTGAATTTAATTGTGGTTGGATGAGTAGTATAAATATATACCATTCTGACACCATATTAGCTTGTACACAACCCATCACAGCTACACATTGTTAGAAAATATATTTTTTGAGAAGTCACCTCCCAATAAATGTCATTTTGGAAAATCTAACTACTCACTTTTACTCAGTACTTTTACTTTTAATACTTAATTAGATTTTGTGTCAGAAATTTACTTTTGATACTTAAGTACAAATTATATCAGATACTTTAAGACTTTTACTCAAGCAATACTTTTAGAGAAGACTTTAACTTTTACCAAAGTATTTTTAAGATAAGGTACTTGTACTTTTACTCAAGTATCACTTTGAGGTATTTTATACAACACTGCATTTTAATGGTTAAAGCAAAACAGTCGTACTCAGAAGGAGTCAACACAAGTTGAGAGCATTTTGACAGTGAACAAAATTGTTTTAATATTTCTAGTTATGCAGAATTGGGTTTAAGTTGAGCCACTGCAAAGATCTTCAGGATCAGTTTTGTTTCTATAAACAGACTTCCAGCCACTCCAAGCTCTCTTTCTTTGGTGACTTCCATCATTTTTGGTATCCTTACATCTTAAACAGCAGCTTTATATTTTAATTTGGATTTAAATAGCTGAAGCAAAAATAAAACACTGGATTTTTAATTAGATAGATTTTACATTTTAACATTTAGGTTTTAATATAGAAAAATACAAAGGAGGAACCATACATGGACTAGTTTTGGTGCAGCTGAAGGGAACAGGCTACTGGAACAAAAGAAAAAAAAAGCCAAAAATAATAGTGTAAAGACCCTACACTTTTCTCAATTTGAAATGAGGTCCTAACCTAAGAGAGTATATCCTGTAATTTTAAGATACGGTACGCTGTAACTCTCACCCACCATGCTCCAACTGTGACATGTGTTTGACCCCTATCCTTGTCTGCAGGAGACAGCACCTGGTGCCTCACCACAACACCATTAGTGGTCAACCACTTTCTCACACACACACACGCGCACACACACGTATGCCACTTGAGATATTTGTAGTGGATAGGATACAACCTCTATGGTAGCTAACATTCAGAGATTCACACCCCGTGGACACGACAGGAAGGGATCCATTTCTTAACAGCAACCACAAACCATCCACACATGCAGCGCACACTGCACTGTATATCCTCTTTGTGCAAACTCCGAGTCGCATGAAAAGTGTTGAGGTTTTTATGGAGGAAAATACATTAACATATACAGTACGTATGAAGCGTTTGCACAATGGTCTCTTTCTTGTTTTGGACTGTTTTTAAACAAGTCGAAATCGTGCACAAAACATTTATTCCCATTGAAATGGTGCCAAAAGCAGAATCTGAAAGGAAAAAAAGAGAAACTATAAGCAAAGGAGTTCTACTTTTTCTTAGAAAGATTTCCCTCGCACATCTGTAAATACTTTCAAGCTTTAATTCCGCAAGAACTATGACTAACCCCATTTATCCATTTACAAGTCAACATTAACTATCCTAAAATGTTAATGTTTCCTGAATGAAAACACATCATGCCTTTCTGCTGTCTGCAAGTACCAAATTGTATTTTTATTAGACTTTTTTATAGCAGTATGAAGGAAATATACTGTACAGAAGAAAACTGCAGCAGAAGTTTATCATTGTTCAGTGTACATTCAATACTTGTGTTATTTTAAATATAACCATCTCTGTTTGTGTCTGTTGCATTGTTTTACAGCCTCCACCATCGCTGAGAACGGGAGGAAAACATGCCTGAAGCTAAAAGTTTTCGTCCGACCATCAAGTAAGTATTTCAACACAAGGCTTTGTAATGGAGCTCGTTGAAGTATACATTTGGACTGAAAACTCAAACAAATTAAGACTAATTGTTAAGTTTCTCCATTATCCTGATTTATCTTTTGTGTCATGTCCAAAATGCTTCTATTGTTTATCACAGACCTTGCCTTACAAGCTAAAAGAAGAAAAAAAAGTTGTAAACATGAAAAGGATGCTGGATTATCCCATGTTGCCATTAGCTTGTCTGCTCTGGGTGTTTTACCTTGAAGGCTCGGAGGGGGTGAAAACTGTCACTAACCTATTTGGCACACACTTGTAATGACTTCTCATTTTCCCTATTTTCTATTTTAGACGGCTGTGTGAAAACTATAGGCGTTCATGACCGTGTTTTTGATGTAGACAACAAAGTAGACAATTCAGAAGAATTACGAGGTTAGTATAGTTCCCTGCTTCATTTGGTGCTGTTCTGTACCACTTCTTGCATGTATATTTTGTTCTGTACCTCTTTGCTGGGGTTCTGTTCTGCATGTCTGGAAGCTGATCTGTTGTTCTGCATCCCTCGCTTGACATTTTCTTTTGAACAGATTCTTCTCTACATTGCCAACACGATGTCACTGTTTATCCTTACATGCATAAAAATAGGTTACTGCATTTCTTTCTGTGGGTTGACAAATACAGTATATATGTAAAAATGCTAATTTATACCAATTATCAACATACAGCTTAGTACTGGTTGATAATATTTCAGTCTTTATTTTGGCATTAATGACTATATCCTTACACAATAAATATGTCATTTGAATGTACTCATCATGATCACAGTAAAATCCAAAAATCTTTAGCTGATATGCATGTGCAGCATATACATACATATTAATACAATTTGCTTAATCCCTAATTGACTTGGTGTTTGGCTCTGCAACACAGCATCGATTATTTGCTGTGCTCAGAATGCACAGCATATTTTTTCTTTTCTTGTCTTTGCAAGAGTCTAAGCCAGTTGCTGGGGGTTAAAACTCCCCATCAGCCTCATGCTGTTGTTTCATTCTCAGCATCGGTTTATTTTAAGGTCTAAAACAACACAATGTGTGTCCCGCAGTCAAAATATATAACACAATTCAATGTAAAAAAAAAAGCCCTTTAAGTAATACCTTGTAAAATTTGGAGGAACTTAGTTTATCTTCATTTATCGTTTAACATAATGTCAGCTCTCTTAACTTGTTTCTATTTAAGTCTAAATAAATCTTATGAAATGCATAATGCACACACATTTGAAGAAAACATGCTGCTCAAATGAAATGCTCAATTGTAAATTTTAAAACGTCTTCTTAGATTTTATTACTTTGGGCAATTTTTACTTTAGATAATTAAGATTTAAGTGATAACATTCATGGTGTAATAACCCTACCCTTCTCTTGTTTTTATTCCAAGAAAAATGAGGTTAAATTGAGGTAAAAGGTATCACTTTGACCCTAAAGCCACAAAAGAAGCATTAAAAAATGTATTTTCTTCCATTTTTTCAATTAGAAGCACATAACACAATTTTGTAGCAACGTGTTGACAAAAATCCGTTATCAGGACTCACTGTTATTTCCTCAAGCAAAAGATGAGCTTGAATTATTGTCATATTTTCAATGTTTCATTGTAATTTATGATAAATATACTGTTTAGTTAAACGTGACACACAGGAATATACAGATGCTTGTACATGTCTGATGTCCACCTGTCTGATTTCAAGTGTTTGCCTGATGTTTCAGTCTGCATGCATCTTTAAATTCTTACACTAATCTACAGTACATGATAGACTTTTTTTGTTTATTTATGATCTAAAGAGGAAAAAAGGAAACCTGCATACAACCCTTATCTGCTCTTACTGTYTTTTTAGTCCTTAAAACATGCAAAACAAACCAACGTTTTKTTTATTGACTGATCCTCCATTCTGTCTTTCTGTTCCCTGTGCATGGTTCAGYTTCTTTCCCATGGTACAGTACACAKATACTGATGCCACTGATGCCAGACAGACACAGGCTCACCTGGGAGATGAATCCAAAATGTTTCTGTCAATGAGAGCAGAAACTTTTTTTTAGCAGCAGAGGTTCAAATGGCAACTCAGACGTTTTGAAACAAACCCAGATAATATGGACTGGAAGTAAATTATAGAGGATATATTGTCATTTTTAATTTCCTTTTTACATTACGATAACAAAGTGTATGAACAAATCAAAGTTTGTCTGGTTTGTCAATAACACCTTGTTTTCTTTTTCCCCCCTTATTTTTTAGATGGAATTAGCCATGAAACAGCTGCCCCTTCTCGGAGTGAAACAAATGCTGCACCAGACCTGCAGAAGACGAATCCTCTGCTTGCTTTGTTGCTGCTTACCCTAGCAGCACTATTCACTTTATAGCGCCTCCCTCTGTGCCGGAGGTCATTTACACCTAGCGTGGCCTGAATCTACCCTAAAGGCTGCAGGGTAGGGGGAGGGTGGGGCGGGGATTTGGGTGAATCACATTTGCTTGATWGGGCATAAAGTAGGCTTCTCAAGAAACCCTCTATTTTTTTTCTGAAAAAATAAGTGGTCTTTCTCCTTCTGTGAGTGAAAAAAAAGTTGATGTTACAAACRGGCGAGAGTGTTTCCCTCTCTTCAATGTTCGACTAAGATGCCAAATCCCGTCTTTTTTGAATTTTTCTTTTACACTTAGTGATTTTTAATTTCTGTTGTGACATCATTTCGCATCATATTTATGTCATTGCTGCACTGATGTTCATGTTCAGAAACTTATAGTGTTACAACAGCGTTACAACATTACAGACTCAAACAAAAGTAGCAGTAGAGTTTTTACAAAGTCRTACCAGTGTATATTGGGAAGGTGAAGACTCTAGGTCTTATACATGACTGTACATACAGCATTCACAAACATAATGTTGTTTTGTGGCGTCACCATTCAAGTGATGCAGGGGTTAGATTTTTGCGCTTCTAAGTTATTTAAAAATTTAGTTGAAAACTGTAAAAAAAATATAGAACATAGGAGCAATGGTTTTTCAGTGAGACAGCACTGAGCAACATGTAGAGTGTGTCGCACATTGTAGYCCACTGATTTTCAGACTCTTGGTGCAAAAGAAAGCAGCCAGTTTCTCCTAAATATAAAGGAGTGGAATGTCATGTAAAAGCGAAGGCCTTCAGTGAGCTAARGCAAAACCCATGGAATCAGTAGGTGACTTGTTTGTGAGGAACATGTCGGTTTGCCCAACAAAAACATCCCTCAAARCATTTGGTTTACTCCCACTCACGAAACTGAGTCGAAACTTTCTCACCAGACACTTTGACTGCTGTTAAGATCGAGAATCAATATCTTTTTGAAAGTTGATAACCCAATTTCACGGCAGCAGTCACAGGCATTTATGCAATGTTTACTGAGCTGGGCAGCAATTGTTTTCTCTGTTCCAGCCGAGCATTAGTCAATATTAACACTCCCATAAACATTTGCATCCACAGCTATTTATTTCCCTGGCTATTGATTCTTAAAACGAGCGCTTAAAAATGTTTCACAGCTAAAACTGGACTTGTTCTTTTCCTTTTTTTTTCCTAAACGATCAAGCTGTGCCAGTGGTATCATCAAACATTGCCTTTAACTATGCAGACAATAAAAGACTTAGTTTTTAAATTCAATTTAATGAAAACAGTGACACTGATCAGGGGAGAGTGCTTGAAAGGATAGTCAATTTCACAGTGCCATGCCTTTTTTTTTATCACATGCCCTTTACCATAATCGCAGCTTAGAAATGTGATAAATGCTTGTTAGATGCACAACACTTTCAGATTGTTGTGACAGGTCTTATACATGGTTGCAATTAGTCAAAAATCACACTGTGTAAACATGAAAACTATTAAATTCAAGGCAGCTTTGTTCGTGGGGTTCAGGTTTCTGTTCACACTTTAATGCAAAGTAACGATGCGCAGCGGCGATATTTAGCTTCTTCCAATTCCCATTAATGCACACACCGAGTTTGCATAATAGATGGACTGTTTCCAGTATCATCAAATAGCAAACCTAACACGGCTGAAGTTAACTTCATTCGGAGCCGCGGGTGTGGGAGGCAGGTCAWCAAATGGCTTAGGAAGATAGACAGAATGAGAGAAGTGGAGCAAGAAAAGGAACACAGGAGCAATTGCACACCCACCTTATGCTCCTAATGTTACTGCTTTAAGTSACTCTTTAATGAGGTTCAAAATGACAGGCATGTGGACCCCATGTTGAAGCAGGGGGGGGGAGTTATTTCTGGAATTAAAAATAGATGGTGGAAGGCTTCATATGAAGGGGACGTCTCAGGAGACTGGGTGTAGATTTTCACTGTGGTGGGGGGGTTCGAAAGCACCAATGACGTTACGGAATCGGTGAGTGAAGGAGACAGAAAGACACAAATTTAAGCATAAACGTTAGCTGAAGGTAGTGCGATTAGTGCCTAACAAAACAACTCAAGACAAAACAAGTGGAAATCCATGCAACACAACAGGATAAAACATGCCATCTAGTACCATTCAGTCTCAAAGGCATGCTCCATTCTGTTTTTTTATTTTTTTTTTTTCATTTTTGTAGCCATCTTTGTTTTCTATTTGTTGTGTAATTTTTATTTTATAAAAATAGCCTTTGCCTTTGGTCAATTTTTTGTACTACGGCAACATTGCTATTACAGCAGAATAGCAGATCGACTATGAGAGGTAATAGAAGACGAGACCATTTAATGAGGTACTAATTTTTAGAGTCTCAACATGGGGAACGAGCGCTGCATACGACTCAAGATGAACGCCCATCAGCAAATTAGCACTAGACTTTTCAACAGAAACCAGCTTCAGCTACACTTTCTTACAATAATCAATGCTATTTGTTATTATTGCTGTCATTGTAATGATTTATACTGCACACACCTTAACCTGGGAAAATAAGGATCAACACAAATACTGGATACTGTGTATCCTGAGGTAGTCAACCATAAAACGTAGTGTTAGGTTAGTATCTGTTTTGTACCTTTCTGGAGGACAAAAAAAAAAAAAAGCAAACAAAAAAAAACAATAATTCATTGTTAAACCCTATAATTATTATTATTGTTATGATGATAATGATTATGACTATTATTATTATGATTATTAATATTATTAGGAATACTTCTTGATGTAAATAGTGTTTGATATTAAAGTATTAATTTGGTTCTTATGTCTTTTCTAAAAAAAATGAATATCGTATTATCTCTGGGTTTTGCGGAGTGTGTACTGTTCTAAAACAACGCATTGTGTGCTTTAATCCTCAATGCCTAAAGAGACTGAGTTGACACAAAAGGGGAAATCTGCTGGAGCTGTACACGTTGGTGTACAGAAAGCTGGACAGTAGCCAACAAGAGGCTCACCTTTTACATGTTTCAAAACAGTCAGCAACCTTCACCATCTCTTCATACGAGGACCCTGCCTTGGAAAGAAACACTTGGGACTTAATTGATGACCTATTTGTATTTTTTTCTTTTCTTTTTTGCCTTTCTGGGGTTGGAGAGCATGTTATTCAGCTCAAAGATCATCTTTGAGAGGACCGTTGGCGTTTTAATCAAAGGGTCTCACCAGATTCATTATGTGGCATGCGCATGAACTTAACATGTATAAAAAAAATCAAAAAGAAAAAAAAATCCAAAATTTTTATTAATTTCTTTCCTGTTTTACTTCCAAGATATTAGATTTATTGATCACTGTCATGTTGTGTGTTTTCCTTTTTTTTTCTTTATTTAAATTCTTTTTGCATCCCCATTTGAGTGAAGTCAAACTGTGTTTCCTACACACGACAAATGTACATAACACAAGCCATTGTTGTGATGTTCTAGTACGTTCAGTCATTTTATAGTTCAAAAGCAACTTCTTTATTTTTCTAAAATCTCTGTACCCATCTACGGTATTCGCCCCATGTCTCCTCAGCCTATTCACTCTCTTTTTAGCGCTCCAGAGAGGAGGAGTTTGAGTGGATACATCAATGTGGACTTTTTTCAGTGTGGATAAAAAATGTGTGAGCCCTATAGGTTTGAGTGTGTATGTGTGTGTGTGTGTGTGTGTGTCATTTGCTGTTGCTGTAGTAAATGGGAAGCAGCAACCCTCTTTGGCAGCAAAGAGTGTTTCCCATGCCTTAGCCCTTCAGCCTCTGCCCTGGCAGCCCCGTCCGTGTTCGAGACGCTTTCTGCCATTGTGCTTTTACATGGAGCAGCTGCTGGCGTCCAAGCGACTACAACAGGGCTCTTCTCTTTCTCTCCCTTTTTCTAACAACCCTGAATCACTTTTTTCTTACGGTAGACAGTGGTCCTAGGCACAGTTCAAGGATTAGCGCACCCCCCCATCAAATCCTGAACTGGTTTGTTAGCTGGGGGAAAAGCCTATCATCGATCCTGGTTCTGTCCACATGGGCAAAGCTTCTTTACTCTCCTGTTGCTGATGAAACACTTGTTCATTTCCCGTCTTGCCTCATCCTCCCCCCTGTGCTTGTACAACCCCCACTTGTCCTTCCTCCTTCACCTTTGAACCCCACTCCTACTTTTCCATCAGTGGGGAATGTTTCCAACCTGCTCTTTTACAGTATATAAACAAGAACATTTGAGAGGAAAATGATCTGTATTTGTATATACACGTGTCTGAGCAACTATGAGTACTACAATAAAACAGAAATACATTGCTTTGATGATTGTTGTACTNTGCAGTTTACAGGGTTAATTCAAAAATTTTTATGTTGGGTATTGTGAAAACTGAGTTTTAGGTTGTTTTTTGAACAAGACCAAGCTTGTTAGCTCATCAGTCTGATCGAAGGAGATATATTGTGCTTTTAAATACTTCTTTTTCACATTTAAATCATGATCTAAATTCCACTTTATTATAACTTCACATGCCCCTTTGTTAACCCTTTTTCTAATGTGTGTCTCAAATCAACTCATTTTGAGGCTGTCTCTTTAAATTCAAAAGGCGCTTCACACCCCACTCCCCTCCAGCATCCAGACTGGTTCATTTGTTTTATGGAGGAACATATGACCACACAGCTGTGCAAACATTTTTTGTTTGTTTTTTTCCAATTATTACTTTAAACGATGTCAATAATGGAAGACTTGTCCATCCAGCCTTTGGAGCCAGAGTCTGACCCAGAACCAGAAGAGAATGAAGACAATCAAATTTAGTTTAGGATTAAGTTAGTCAGGTAGGGTTAAGTTTAGGTTTAGTCAGGTAGGGTTAGGTTAGTCAGGATGAGTTAAGATTAGATTTAGTCGTCAATAAAAAAATAAAAAAGATTAGACTTAGTCAGGTATGGTTAGGTTTAGTTGGATAGAGTTGGAGTTAAGTTTAGTTGGGTAAGGTTAGGAGGTTAAGGTTAGTCAGATAGGGTTACTCGGGTAGGGTTAGGTTTAGTTGGTTTTAGTCAGGTAGGGTTAAGTTTAGGTTTAGTCAGGTAGGGTTAGGTTTAGTTGGATAGAGTTGGAGTTAAGTTTAGTTGGGTAGGGTTATGAGGTTAAGGTTAGTCAGATAGGGTTAGTCGGGTAGGGTTAGGTTTAGTTGGTTTTAGTCAGGTAGGGTTAGGTTTAGTCAGGTAGGGTTAGGTTTAGTCAGGTAGGGTTAGGCTTAGGTTTAGTCAGGTAGGGTTAGGTTAGTCAGGATGGGTTAAGGTTCGATTTAGTCAGGTAGGGTTAGGTTTAGTTGGGTAAGGTTAGGTTTGGCTGGATAGAGTTGGTAAGTTTAGTTGGGTAGGGTTAGTTGGGTAGGGTTAGGTTTAGTTGGGTTGTGTTAGGTTTAGTCTGGTATGGGTATGGTTATGGTTTATGGTTATGTTTATGTGACTGCTGGATATGGGCACCAGTGGCCCACGCGACCCTGCAAGGAATAAGCATGTACAGAAAATGGATGGATGGATGGATGGATTTGCAAATTCTGTGATGTAACAATTTAGACAACATCATAGAAAATTGAGAAAACTGAATGGGTTAAAAATATGACTCAAACAGAATATACGCAGCACATGGAGAGACTAAATTCAAATGTTCTGCACTCCCAGAGACTCCAAGTACAAATCAAAATGCATTTGATGGCTAAAAAAGTGGATTTTACTTATGTCCCTTTTAAAGACCTAATAATTATTTGAACATCATAACATATTTTATGTATCCAATAAAAAAGTGAACACACTCAAGCAAAAACAATGTCTGCTCATGTGCCAAGTTAACCGCTCATGTAAAAAACACTTAGATTATTCCTTGATGGCACTTCTGTGTAACTGTCCACATTGTGTAATCACACCAATACAAAGACAGACGGAACAGAACATTATCCATCAGGATCAGAATAAGACCTTAAACCTTCTTTCACTTTTGTGGGGCACTAATGAGAACACCTAATAACCTTCTGCTGGACCCCATCAGCTCCATTTAGCTTCACCTTCCATTATCTCTTAGGCATGAGAGTTTGCAGGCCCTAAGGACTAAAGGGGAAGAACAAGCCCCCTGATATGACAACTGAAATCCAATCAGTGAAATCTGACCTTAAAATGTTGTTCTTGTAGTACAGTTGTAAACCTACAAAGTTTTGTTTTAAATAAGTATTTAAAAAAAAACACTGATATGTTTTTGTAAYCACTATTAAATTTTAGCTTGCGCCAATTGTTGCACCTTAAAACACACAAAGATTGGAAAAAACATGAAAGTTGGCACCATATCTTGTTTGTTTGCCGACTTCTATTGTAATTTTTTAGCTATATCTGGTTAAGAACTTAATGGAACGGTGTCCAATTGTGCCCTTCTCATAAGTACAATGTGGTTAGTACAAGTAATTCAATATAAAAAACTGACATCAAAGCAAACCGGTCAGGTGTAGTGAAGAACAAAAATTAACTTGTAAAAAGGCAAATAATGAGTTTTAGGGAAAGAATAAAAATGTTAGGCTGCCAGCCTGTCTTCAGTACTAAAATATGTTTTAGCAGCAATGTGGGTTACAGTGAAGAYAAGTACTTAACGCTCCATAGGCTGGAATAAAATATCTTGATGCCAAAGACATGAAATCTCATCCAAGAGGCAATTCTATCCAATCTCATCCTTTTCCAAAGCTGGTACTTTTTTGAGCATCAGTAGGGGTAAAGAAAAAAAAAACTGCTTTATGCCTGAACACACTCGAAATGATGAGCCAATTAGCGTCAAGTTGTTCTTCCTGGTGTTATTAGCGAAAAAGACTCTGGAGATGCAGGTGCGTCTATGAAGACCAATAAAGACAAATCACTGCGCCTGATCATTAAATCTGGGATAATGATAGCTTTATGTGAAGATACATCCCAGATGCACTATTAAGCTGTGAACATAGTCAAGGTCTGTGATCAGCTGTGAGTGAGCGYTGATTTGGCCGAGCGCGTGTCACCCCAGAGTTGGTGACACGTATTGCGAGAATGTGTACATATTTACTTACTTTTCCCCTGTCGGACTTTTCCGATAGAAGCAGTTTTTATCTTAACACAGCAAGAGCTCATCTAATAGTTCTAAAGAGGCCACTTCAAAGAAAAGCTGCAGAAGGAAGCATCATTCAAGTCAGCTGGTTCACTTATTGGCTGCATGGTGGTTCGTTTCCATGTGAACAAAAAGTTTGATTGACAGCTTCGAATGATGTCTTCAGTTAATCGCTTCAGTGGTGTGAAAAGGTCATAAATCACCCAATTACGTTGCACCCCCTCTTTATGAATAGATATTTTGGGGGGTAATATTTAAAATGCCTCCTAGGCATATCAACTATAGTCAACTCCATATATTTATTGAGAGGGAGCTGCTGGGTGGCTGCTTGTGGCAGAAATAACTGATAAGCTGAATATATTTTACAGTCCTGGGCACACTGTGGAATGTCACGGTGCAACTCTGTTAGGAAGTTAAAGCAGAATTCAAGGTTATTTATTTATTTATTTATGTATTTATGTATTTATTTATTTATGTTTATT